ACTTTAACTGCAAGTTGTTTTGTACTGCCTATTTCAGGAATGACAACTATGTCTTTGCTTTAAAAAAAAAAAAGTGTTTATAACCGTCGTGTAGCCCTACCTTTGTTTCAAAAGGTTATAAAGGTTATATGACTACCTTCTTGTAATTAGCTGTTCTTATGCCCATCTTGTCATGCCCACCTTGCAGTCATGTCTTTGTTTCAGGCACCCGTGTAGGACTAACTTGTTATGCTTATGTTCTTCTCAAGTAACCCCACCTATTTTTCCCACTCAGTCTCCCATTTGGAAACCCCATTTGGAAACAAGGCTACAGAAGCCTTGTATTCCTCACATACAGTGCTGATCTTTCAAACCCCACCTTAGGAATTAAAAAGCTTGCTTTAATTAATTTGGCCATGATGATCTGAGTCAGTGGTCTTCCTTCTCCTTTCTTTGGGACTACATTAAGTCTTTAGTGTATGGGCCTTGATCATACTCTCCATCCTAGGAAAAAGGCTGGAACTACTTTTGCCTTGGAGCCCATGAAGCCATAGACTTAGCATCCCATAACAATGAACCTCCTAAAGTCCTGTGATATAGAGCAACTTTTATGATATTTTCACAGCATCTTAAGAGCCACATACAGTGAGAGGGGTGGTTCAGAGACCAACAGTATATATCAATCATCTAGCACAATAATTTTGTTTCTTACAATAACCCTATGCTCATTCATAGAATTGTGAAAATTACCTATCAGATAATAATTTAACTAATCTCAGTTAATCAACATCTTCCTTGAATCTTGAGATGAAATCACGGAAAGTATGAATATTCTATTCAACTTTAAACCATGGAGAAAAAGTAACCTCAGGTGCTGGCCACCTATAATAGTAAACTTCAGACACAAACTAAAATATTATCTTCGCAAATGAGCCCTGAAAGATAAACTGCAGGGACAAAGCACCAGGAAGAAGGGGGTATCTTGTCCAGACATTCTCCAGTGAAGTCTTACCCATGGCAGAGCTTCTCCATATCATCTGCTGCCTCTTTATGAGTAAAAAGAGTCAGGGGCAAAGCTGCAGGTACCAGAATGGAGGCTAGGGCTAGGAGAGCAGCATGTCTCAGCCGGGGGCATGTTTGCAGGATTATCACCTGTGGAGGATTATCTGCCAAGCTGCTGTAATGCTCTGGAAAAATAAAGTTTGCTTCTAGCATATAAAATAGTTAAGACAAAGAGAATGTAAGTTTGCAATTAACAAAGGTAGCCAGAACTTTTGATAATTGTGTCTGTTGATAACAGAACTCTCCAACTTTAAATATGTAGAAAGGCTGAACAAAATCACACACACACACACACACACACACACACACGCACGCACGCACGCACACACACACACACACACACACACACACACACACGCATGCACGCACGCACGCGTGCGCACACACACAGGTACTGCCCAGGATTGACTAGAAAGATAGACTTCTAAGTCACGATGGAGATGCAGCTGAAATCAAAGAATAGACCCTAAGAAGGGTCTGAGTAACTCACAGCTGGCCCTTCACCTACCTAGGACAGGAAAGAGCAACAGATAGCACATGACTTGGCTAGACATGGAGCAGTGATTATCACACCATGATCACTCTCTAGGAAGTGGCTCCAGGATTCCTTTTGCTTCGGTACCAGAGGATTGAAGGGGTCACTGCAGAATGCTAAGCAAGTGTTACTCATGAGAACTCTGACATTCACACAGGCTCACAGCATAGTGTCACAGGTCCAGACAATAACACAAAAGCTGGTTCTGAGCCAGTAAGATATATATGGTTCTCAGCAGAGGCAAAAACAAGAGCTATCTTCAGAGGTGGTGTCATTGCTGGGTCTCAGTTCAGAAAGGAAGGCGCAATTCATAAAGGAAACTCAAACACCTTCCTTCTTTAACTGTTTGAAATGTCTGCAAAACTGTAGAAACTTCAGGCAACATTCAATACAAATGACCAAGGGAACAAAGTACCTGCAACTCCAAGAGCTGAGTAAGATGAAGCATCCTGTAATTATAAGGCCCAACTATAGATTAATAAATAAACAAATAGAAAAAATAAATAAAAAGTACAAATAAGCATTGTATAAAAGAGAAAACTTCCCAGTGAACATAAGATGTTCAGTCTCAGAAGCAACCATGGTAATACAAATTAAAGCACTAATGAGGTGCTTTTCATAGTTATCAGATTGGCAGAATTCAAAAAGTAATTATAATAACCATATAAAGTTAGAAATCACATAAAATTAAAAATATATTGATCCTACAACATAATCATTTCCCTCTTAGAAGCACCTAGAGAAAGTTATGGTTAGGCTAAAGGACATCTGCATGATTGCTACAGCTACACATCAGGCAAAGCAGCAAACCTCTGCAGGCTGAACTGAAGCCAGTAGGGAAAACGGAGAAATCGGCAGCTGTGTCTACTATGGAATACTAACCACCAATTAAAAACACAAATCAGCTCTACTCTGTACTGCTAACACAGAACTGCTTTAAAATACAAGCTGGGATGGGAAACGGGAGTGTTACAGAATGGTACGGTATAATAGTGCTCGTGAAAAAAAATTAAATCATAGCCTACATGTTCAGCTACATAATGTTCTGGGATGACAGAAACAAGTGAAGAAGATGCTGACTAAGGCCTTGGGAAATGACTTAAACTTTGTAATACTCTCCTTTGTTTTGAAAATGTGACACAATGTAAAGCATATTAAAATTTTCACTGCTAGGTGATGGGGACTAATATATTAATCTATGTTTTTAAAAATTATACCCTAAATGAAAAAATATGTATAAGGAAATAAGTGAAATAAACCAGATACCTTGGTCCTATACAGTTTCTAAGGGTTGAAATAAAGTCTTAGAACATCACAAACACAGCAAGGTTGCCATAACACACATACAAGATCTTGGTCTTGCATTTCCTATACTCCCCCCATCACCATGTGAGACAATGGAGTAAGACCCTACAGGCAGCTTAGTGGAATGCAGCTGGAGCCCCAGATGGACTAGGCATATGGACACCTTGACATCTTTTCAGTATCTACTTCCTTAATGCTCCTAGGTATAGATTAGAGCTTGCTAATAAGATGTGGGAAAGATATTGCAGCTAATGTCTCTGAAGTTCTCCTTGATCTCCCTGGTGCCTTCTTGCTTTAGGCTTTTCTAGTCCTGCCATTACCTTGGTCACCACAGTTGTCAATCATTCCATCCATTACTCTTTCTGCGTTTGTTTGTTCACTTTCTTTGGTCTTTTGAAGCCAAGTGTCATCCCTTTCTAAAAACTCAGAAAATCTTCCTTCTCATCTTTTAAAAATCCTTTCTTTCACTTCTAGAAGTCTAAAGTAGTGATTGCAAAGAAAACAATGAGCAACGCCCTGCCATTCTCTCCTGAGCATCATGACAACCACCCAACTTGAATCTAACTTCCGCAATGAAATGTGCTCCTTCCCATTATCTACAGTAGACTCACTTCATTTGTCTTGGTCTTTGTAAACCTTCAGAAATGGGCCTTTACTTAAGGCCCTTCACATGACACTTAAGATGATACTATGTATTACTAATGCTTAGATATTCAATGCTTTCTGTGGTTACACTTGTGAAGAAATGCTATAAAAGCATCCTAAATAGAAGGAAAAACTAGGGATATATACTTCAGACACTGTACTTTCATGATAGTAAATAATCGCTAAGCTGCCCCACAAAAATATACAGTTCACTTACATTATCTGAAACATGATCAATATTTAGTAATTATTGATGTTTGTACAGTTATTTCTTTTAAAGTCACATTTCTTCATGAGGGCCTGATAAAACCACTCAATTTCCTTCTTTTGGAGAATAAATAGAATTCAATTTTTAACTAAAAAATATGAGAGCAGCTGACTTGGTCAAGTGGTCACGGAACCTTCAGTGTGTTGCTTTGTACACAGGCAGCTTCCCACTTTACTCAGCTTGCTGGTGAAAGGGCCCAGCCAATGACAAGTGAGGAGTCAGAAATCCAGCAAAACTGCCTTATAGACTAGAAGTCCATAGCTCCTTTATCCCCCTAAATGAGGGGAAACTCCTAAACAAGGGCTTCACAGACTTCACTGATCACACAGCCCAAAATGTGAACCATGGTCACAAGAGCAAATGGTAGTCCACCAGTGGCCATGAGTTAATCAGTCATTCTTAGCATTAATAGTGGCTTTTTTAAAAAAAACATTTTTCACATCATGCAGATCAAGTCAATACGGGTGAACTTTCTGGGTCCTGGTATGCTAGACTGGATGAGCTCTGCCAGCAAATCGATTTCCTTTTGTTGCACTGGTCACCATTTGTGAACCATTTTCAGAGTCAGTGGCTCTATAAAATGTGGCTTGATAACTCTGATAACATTTTCAACTAAAATATCTTTACTGAAAATTCTGAAATTTTTATTGTGGCAACAGACAAAATGTCTAAATCCAATAATAACAGAATAAAACCAATCTATCATGTGTAGATGAATGGTAAATTTGCATAACTGAAAAAATATAACAAATAATAAGTCAAGAAGTGAAGTCTATAGGGGCTTTTTGGCATTCCATGAATTGTACACTGTCCCTGGTACAACGAATTCTGCCAGCAAATACACTTCAGACTGTCATTCTCTACATTACCATAAGCCAAAATGCTCTCCCAGTCCATCCCTTCTTAGTGTAAGACTTTCCAATAGCCACAAATCTTGCCTTTCCCCTTCAATATAGAATTAACTTAGTCACAGATACCTGTGTTCATGCAAGGCAACAGCATGGGTTCTCTTCCATGCTCACAATCTGTGACACTCATATAGGATAAAGTAAGAACATTGTCACAAATGTTTCCAGAACAGCCCGAAAGAATTCTATGTCAAACACCAAGGAGAATCAAAGCTCAATCTAGCAATTATGGACCCACTCACACATCCAGGGAAACAGGAGGTTTTTTGTTTTTGTTTTTGTTTGTTTGTTGGTATACCTTTGTCTTTGTCTCTTCCCTTTGTAGCAATTCCTTCTTTTTCCATAGTTTCTCTTTCTCCTTGTCCCTTTCTCTTCTTCTGACTGAAATTTCCATCTCCAGTCTTGCTAACTCTTCCTGGTGGGCTCGCCATTGAAAAACCTGAAACATATAGAGACCCTTCATTTCAATAACTGTGCACTATCACATGATTTCACATGGGATAAGTGTCTGTGTCAAGGAGGACTCGAGTTTTTCCAAATGTACATGTAAGTTTTATGTGCATATGAGGATATATGTGTGCAAGATCATCTAGAAAAAGCAACTTTAGATAACTCATTCAAATCCTCTTTAGCTGGACTCAGCCATAAAAGAGTCTGATGTTCCTGCAAAGAATCTGCGACTTCCAAAAAATTCTAGGCCAGGAAGGTTAGTGCACCCCTGACACTGTCTGGAGCACCAAGACCCACAGGCTGGATGACCCAGAGACCTAGGATAGAACCAAACATGTCTGGAGATAAAAATAAAAGAGGTCAATGTAGTAATTCTTAACGATATTCTGCTATATTTGTAGACTGGTGTGTAGCCCAATTGTTATCACAGAAGCTTCATCTAGAAAATGATGGAACAGATACAGACCCACAGCCAAACACTAGGCAGAGCTTGGGAAATCCTGTAGAAGACCGAAGAAAGGATTGTACCGGAGAAGGAGAAAGGAGGAAGGGTCAAAGATACCATAATAAAACCCACAGAATCAACTAACCTGGGCTCATGGGTGCTCACAGAGACTGAACTGGCAACCAGGGATCCTGCATGGGACTGACCTAGGCATTCTGCATATATGTGACACAAGGAGTCTCCTTGTGGGACTCCTAACAATGGGAGCAGGGGCTGTCTCTGACTCTTTTGCTTGCTTTTGGTTCCCTGTTCCTCATACTAGGTCACCTTGTTCAGCCTTAATGTATGGGAAGGTACTTAGTCTTACTGCCTGTTCTGTTGATATCCATGGAAGGGGGGGCTGCCTTTTCCTGAACAGAAATAGAGGAGGGGGGTACTAGGAAGAAAGGAGAGGAGGGAAAGGAAACTGCTCTCTCTCTCTCTCTCTCTCTCTCTCTCTCTCTCTCTCTCTCTCTGTGTGTGTGTGGGGGGGGGGTATATGGAGCTATTGAAATGGTTCAGCAGGTAACGAACGGCATGTGCTGCCAAGCCTGATGACCTGGGATCAATCCCCAAGTTGGTCAGAGAAGCATGTTCCACTCCTGTAAGTTTTCCTCTGACTCCATATAAATGCTGTGGCATGAGTGCACCTACTCACCTAAACATACAAAAGAAAAAAAATGTAATTTAAAAAGGAAGTTAGAAAGCAATCAAAGAAGATACCCAATATTGATAGCAGGCCTCTTCACACATATGGACATGCTTCCACATGCACACATGGGCACATTGACTGACCCACATGGACAACCACCACCCAAAATCTGGAATTGGTCCTAAGACCTTAAAAGGTTTAAGAAGTACTGACAGATTTTAGTTCCCTTATTTTATAAGCATGGAAAGTGAGAATAAATTAAGATAAAAGAACTTCCTGGGTATGGATATGTGCTATTGTAGGCAAATACCTCTCATAGCTTTTTGTCACTATGTAAACACATACACAATAAAAAATAATACACATAATCTTTCATTCATATCCCTACCTCCAGGAGATTATCCAAAGACCATTGTACTGGGCAGGTTTTTGTTTGTCTGTCTGATTTTTATTGGGGCTTTTGTTGGTTTTTTGTTTGTTTGTTTGCTTGCTTGCTTGCTTGCTTGTTTTTTGTCAACTTGACACAAACTGGAGGCACTGGTGAAGAGGGAGCCACGACTGAAACAATGCCTCCGTCAAATTTGCTGAGAGTGAGCCTGTGGGCATTGATGTGGGAGGGCCCAGCTCTGGAGCAACAGTGCCACACCTGGGCAGGTGGTTCCGGGTTCTATGAAAAAGCTGGTTGAGCAAAGCTGCAGAAAGCAAGCTAATAAGCATCATTCCTGGATGGACTCTGCTTCAGTTGCTGCCTCCAGGTTCCTGCTTCAGTTTCCTATCTAACTTCCCTTTTTGATGAACTATAAGCTGTAAGCTGAAGTGAACACTTTTCTCCCTGTGTTGCTTTTGATCATGGTGTTTCAACACAGCAAAAAAATCAGACAAATAATACAACCATCAACAAAAATGTACCGTAGCAATGCTCTCTGAAGTGTAGTTTAAACCAGAAAATTTGGGGAAAATCTAAATGCCCATCAATAGGAGTTGGCTTAAATCAATTCTGGTACATTCATATAACACCTATGACTGTCAAATGATGCTATATTTCTATATTTGTTGTTATGAAATGTCTATAATAGTTTAGATGAAAAAAATATAAAATGACAACTATAGTATGATCTCATTAGCATAATGTATCTGCATATCCATGCAAAGAGAGATTTTTGGAAGGAGGCTTGCCCACTTGACAACAGAGCCTCACTATATTATTTTGAAAGATTTTTAAAAAGTTATTCTAACCTTTCTAGGCTGGGTAAAGTCCTAAACTGGGTACTTTTTTGTAAACAGATGTGTTTTATAAACAATAAACAAATGAGACTAAAGAAAAATAAAATCAAACTTTTTTTTCTGATCCTTGTACACATCTGACTGGAAAAGCAGTGAGGAAAAATACACAAGCATGCAAAACTCCTCTTACAAAAAGTAATAATTTTGCAAGTATTTGACTCAAGAATCATTCATTAATAACATACAAAATTAAAACTGAAAAATAATGTCACTGCAATATGATTAAAATGCCTCTAAATCATTTAGCTCTTTAAATATTTTATAAGTTTTTCTAAAAATCTATTTTGCCACACCTATGAGAATAAGCCAGAAAATGCCACCTCCTGACTTGCAGGTACAGCATCTACTCCATCACCAGATCTATTCAGCAAGACTGAGTTCTTTGGACCTAGAACATGTCTGTGTCTGGATCCTGCTACATATCTTGCCTTTAAGTCTGTCTCTTACCTGCAACTTCTACAGTCCAAATCAAGTGTCCTAACAACTGTTGCCAACAGTCTCCTTCCTGAACACTCAGAGGGTTAATTCTGTTCTCTCCTCTACCTGTTGACCATCCCAGCAGATTCTTTCCTTTGTGTGCCATGGCATAGCTTTCTCCTGCACCTTCAACAATGCATGGTTCTCTCCCTCCTTACCCATTCAACCCTGTACCCTCCTCTTTCACCTCCAGTCTTACTCTATGTTTCATTTTCTAATCCTATTCTATGGAGTCTGACTGCAAAATCTACTCTATCAGCTCTTCCCACTGGTACTCCAGCTCTTCATAAATTCTTGAGGCCATTCCTATTTGCTAGTGCTTCTGGGATCCAGACTTCCAAAGTTAAACTTGGGATCTGTGGTCTTCACACCAAGCCCAGGGTTCATGTTTCTCCTCAAATACCTGCTTTTGTCAGTGGGACTGCAAGTCTCTCTGGAGTATGTATTGTTTTCATTGTGTAAACCCAACAATACAATTGTTTCTTTGCACTTCATAACAATCTTTTTTGATATATATAACATGATTTTAGTGGAGATGTGTGTGTGTGTGTTTGTGTGTGTGTGTATAAACTTAGATGAGTTTCTTTTTATGATAAATCAATTTCAAAACCAGTGAGATTGGTTGTAATTCTCTAGCTCACTCAGAATCTTTTGGCCAAATGTATTGAACAAGATTAGAAGTTTCATGAGGGTGATGTCAATTGATTAAGTTGATTTTCTCACTCATATTGCCACATTAATCTTGCTCATATGTAATCTTCAGGCAAACTTGTTTCTCGGCTCTGCCTCAAATAGCCTTTCTTAGTCTTACTCTTTTTAGTTGTACACTGACACCAATTCTTTTAAATTATTTTATTTGATTTGTATGAGTGTTTTGCCTCTGTGTGTTTGTGGGCTGTGTGTGTGTGTGTGTGTGTGTGTGTGTGTGTGTGTGTGTGTGTGTGTGTGTGTGTGTACATCATGTGCATGCCTGATGCCTACAGCAACCAGAAGAGGGCACTGGATCTCCTGAAACAGGAACTTCAGATAGTTATAAGAAATCGTGTAAGTCCTGGGAATTGAACGCATGTCCTTTAGAAGAGGAGCCATTGCTCTTAACCACTGCGCCATGTCTTAAGCCCCCAATCATTCTTATTCTGAACTTCAAGGAGTGGTAGATACAAACACTCCTTGGAACGTCCTTTATTTCCCTCTATTTCAGAAGATGTTTATCACTCATCTGAGGTCCAAATCATGGCTCACAGTTTTCAAAAAACATTCTCCAACACATGTACCATGCCATAACTACTCACTACTTACGATGAACATATTGTTTCCATTTAGAACACATTTCATACGTTTGCCTCCTCCTTACACTGTCAAGCAGTGTACTGGTTCATGATAGGTACTTAATAATTACCTTATATGTAATTAATCAAGCTAAACTAAACAGTTTGCCCAACAATTTTCCTAAGTTGCCATTTTCTGGCAAATGCAAGTATAAAGAATCCCTCTTCTGTTCTCCAGAAAAGATAAAATATGCTGATATTTTTTTAAGGCTGCAGATAGATTAGTGGAATACATATGTCAGATAACATATGAACAAGAGAAAAAAAAGCAACAGGGCCAGGGAACTTAGAGTAAGACATGAGCTTGCAGAAGCCAGGCTGCTTCCGCTTCCTGTTGGAATAGCTGCAACAGTCAGGGGCCTCTGACATTAAGCTGAAGTAATTCATGACATTGTCTGTGATTGTAATTGTACCCAAAGACATGACTATAGAAACCAGACTTGTGTGATCTTGACATGAGAGGTGGGCTCTGTGACAATAGATACAGTCACATGGGGCTTTTCAAATCACACAATGGATAAGGTAAAGAGTGGCAGGAAAGGGTACTGTTGGGGGTGGGGATTTTACCCAATGGATCCTCAGGAAAAAAAAAAGATTTGGATGTGGAGAGAAAGACAGCCCATTGCTAGATTTTTCTGAGAGGTCTAATAATAAGAAAGCTGGCAGGTGGGCAAAGGAATCAATAGCATCACAATAGGCTAAAAAAGCATAGAATCCTTCTGAATGATGCTGAGTGAAAGGAAGAATAGCTCGGAAGAACATTC